TCTAAAAATTTTTTAATGATTATACAATCCTTTATTGTATGAATTTTCTACAATCTGTTTAATTCCCCCATCACTGGATATTTAGTTGGTTCCTGGCTTTTCAAAATTATAATCAATGCCACAGTTAACGCTTTTGGGCATAAATCTTGCCTACAATTTGGATTATTCCCTTTGGAGAGCAATCCAGAAGTGGCTCAAAAGCAAAAACATTTTAATCACCACCATTTCTGAACTTGGACAGAATAAAAATTCATGTGAAGTAAAATGAGGCCCTATTTTAATTTTCCGAATATTACTTTATCTAATTTAAATCATTTCCTAGGATGAAATAATGCCAAAATTTCTCACTTATATTCAATTTTCATTTTGAAAAGTTAAATGTAGTTCCTATTGCCCCTTTTGCTATGGGGTTTAAACAATACATAGTATGCTGCACATCAAATTTCAATTTCATGGTTTTGGGAATATGTTACACAACTGCTTTGAAGAGTTCCAACATTTGAATGTAGATTTCTTTTTTTTTTTTTTTTAAGCAAAAGTCGGAATCACAAACCCTATCACTTATCTTATTAATAACATCTTTCCTTCCACGCTGTTCACTAACCCTCCCAACTCACCCACTCTCTTCACGCATGGGTTTTTGATGTCTCCTCGCTGGCCCCTTCTCCCTGCTCAGCTGTCCTCACAATTTCTCTCCTACCCCGAAAGAACCCTCGCCCTGAGGACTTCACGAGCTCACCTTCTGCCTGCTGCCATCTTCCCGTGTTTGCATACTTGCATCTTCTGCTGTGTATCAGGACAGGTAGAGAAGCGTCCATCAGGCTCAGCCCTGGGGCCGAGTTTCAGAGACCCCGGCTCTCCTCCCCAATTCCTTTCTGGGCATGGGCCCCACGGCCCTCTATTAATTACACTCCTGTCCCCTGCAAGTCTTTTTTCTTTCTGCTTTTTATTTGCTATCGTCAAAAGATTTGCCATTCCTTAAAAATATACCCACTTTTAAAAACTGAAAAAAAAAAAAATTCTATTTAGAAAGCCTTTATTTAATCCATTATGAATACCAACATAATGGATTAAATAAACCATATTGACTATCAAAAAGTTTCTTTGAAAAGTTCCATACAAAGTAAAGGCAGAATGGCACAAAGTTAGAAAAGCGGTGTTTAAGGCCAACTTAGTAAGAACTAACCCTAATTGAAATAAGAGGCATACAATCCTTAAAAATATACCAACTTTTTTGGTATATTTATCTGCACTACTTAATAACATTTTTCATAAAGATTGTTATAAATATAAGGACATATAAGCGGAAATAAGTGGGTAGATTTGGGATCCATTGCAGATGCAGAGCCAATAGGCCTTGCTGGTGGACTGAATGTGGGGGGTGGGGTGCCGTGGGGGGCAGGGACAGGGAGGAAGGGAAGTCAGAGCCCTCACAGGAAGGACACTGGGAGACAGGTGGTGACATTTGCTAAGACAAGGGATGATTGGAGGAAGGAAAAAAAAACAGGTTTACAGACCTGAGATGCCAACTAGACATCTGAGGGAGGGTATCAAAAAGACAGGTAAATATGACTTTGGATTTCAGCTCATGGCTGAAAACATAAATATGGGCACCACGAGCACTAGCTCAGTGGCTTTCAAGTGAAAAAGGAAATACTATGTGTGACCCACACATAGTTATAGCAACCTAGTAGACAGAGATACAAGACAAACAAAAGTTGTGTGAAAAACTATAACTTATTATACGTAATATCTCTTGATATTTTCTACTCTATTTTATTTTGAAAAAAAAAAAAAAGAAAGAAAGAAACACACAGTTCATGACCAGTTAATGGTTAATTCATGACCCATAGTTTACAAACACAGTGATCTAGACTGGGACTGTTTAACACAGCAGCCCTTCACCCCATGTGTCTATTTAAATTTAGATTAATTAAAATAAATAACAGTTTTCATTTAGTTTCTTAGTCACATGAGCCAAATTTCAAGTACTCGATAGACACATATGACTAGTGACTGCCAAATTGGGCAACGCAGATATAGAATACTACCATCATCTCAGAAAATTCTGTTGGACAGAGCAGATAACAATGCTTCGAATCTCAGGCCTTAAATGAGGTAACCTGGGAGGAAAGTGTAAATAGGAAAAGGCCGAAGATCAAGGCCACAGGCCCTCTAACAGGTGAGGCCTGGCAGAGAAATGAGAGCTAGCAAAGGAGACTTGAAAACAGAAACCAAAGAGGGGAAAAGCCAAGAGGTTGTGCTGTTAGTAAGCCAAGAAAAGTCTTGGCTAGAAGGTTTTCTAGCATTTCTAGAAGGAAGGAGTGCTCAATGAAGTCAAGAGTTGATAAGAGGTCAAGTCAAAGACAGACACGACGCCATGAGATTGGCAGGAAAGGGTCAACTGTGAGTCAACTGGGGAGAGGTGGAATTATACGAAGTATCAACTGGCCCCAGCTTCCGTGGAAGAAGGTTCTAGAGGTTGACCTTTAAACACTAGAACACTAGCTGACCTGGGAAAAGTTAGGAAAGATGAGAAGCATTTGGGACAGGGTGGAGCCTAGGATACTTGTGCATACGTGTGCGCGCGCGCACACACACACACACACACACACACACACACACACACACGGGAGAGAGATCAAAGGAACAATAGAAAGAAAAGAAACATTTCCGGTGACCTTGGAAACCTTTTTATAACATGCAACCACCTTATTTATGAGAGACTTCTAAGAAAGAAAGAAGCCAAAGCAGATATCTGAGGGGAACTGGCAGCAGCCGTGAAAACAGAAGGTCCTTTCTCGCTCTGGAGTTTTGGCCATGTGGCACTGTCAGAGGGCATGGCATCACAGTAGCCACGCTCCACTCTGAGCTCTTGTCCCTGATCCCTCCTGAGCCCTGTAGCTTTCAGCCTTCACCCCTTCCCACCCACTCTGGCCTGTGCCAGAAGCAGCAGATGGACACACATTTTGTAATTATCAGCAGAGCCAGGCGTCTGGGCCCTTCCCTAGTCACTCAGAGTGATTCATCTGCTACACTCATTGAGGATTTTGCAATGCTTAAATGAAGCTGGGTCCACTGGAAAGTAGGAAAAGCAGAAACCACAGCACCATTGCAAATCCCTGCTTCATGCATAAGCTGCGCTAATGTCATTCTTTCAAGAATTTTGGGTTATTTAAAAAGATAAATAAGATAAATGGGTATTACACAATACCCCTTTGATTAGAAGTATTTTTCTGACAAAAGGACTTTTGAAAGAAATGCTTAAAA